AAAAAAAAAAAAAAAATATTTCGACAAAACAAAACAAAGAAAAAAAAAACTCACGGCAAAACTAATACGTCTTACATGTATTTAAAAAAATAATAATGATGATAATGATAATAATAATAATCGTCGTAGAAAATTACAAAAATGAATTGACGTCAATTTTTTTTTTTTTTTGTTTTTTTTTAAAATTGTTTTTTCTGTCAGTTTAAATTGATATCAATTAATGACGTTTTTTTTTTCTCTCTCTCTCTCTCTTTCTCTCGAGTCAACAAAGAAACAAACAAACAAACAAACAAACACCTAAAGAGAAAAAAAAAATGTTCTTATAGAGAACTTGAAAAATAAAAAATGAAACCTATTTAAAAAAAAGAAAAAAAACGAAATTAAATTGCTCACGAAACCTTAACGTGCTACAAATTTTTTCTTTCTTTTTCTTTTTTCGGAGGGTTTTTTGGATGAAAAGAGGGAAGGGGAGGGGAGGGGGAGGAGGGCCCCAAAAATTAATTATTCAATGCCTGGCAACGGTTCACAAATCACCACCACCACCACCATCATCATCATCATCATCACCATCATTCATCAACTCGTAATATACCAACGGTTAATAATCTCATATTTCTTATGTGAACACGTCGTTAGTTTGAAAATAATGGCCGCGTTATTATTATTATTATTATTATTATTATTTTCTATCTTTATTCGGTGTTTGACGCGGTGTTGGTAGTAAAAAAAAAAAAAAACGTCTATCGCCCTTGTTGGCACTAACAAATATTCATTCCTCATTAACCCAACCAACCAGGTGGTTGGTAAATACCTTTACGTTCACTTTGACCAAATTCCTTCGTACAATTTCCGATATTTACGTCATGAATGACCGAATTGCGTAATCCGCGAGCGCCTTCATTTATGAATACGACACACTCGTGCTTTTCATTTATGGGAAAATTGGCAACCGAACAACTACAAACGAAAATTCAAACATTTTTTTCCCTTAATTAAATAATTACGAAATGATTAATTTTTATTTTAAAGAAACTGAAACCCCTAAATTTTCTCCCAACACGAGGAGGGGGAGGGAAATCATCAGACGTCTGAACAACATTTTCGAATTTACTAAATCGTATACAACCTAAAAAGTGAAATCGTATTAAAAAGAAAATTAATTATTTTATTAATTTTTTAATAAATGCTACGAAAATAATAATTATAATTATGATGATGATGATAATAATAATAATAAATTAAAAAAACAAAATCGTAAGAAACCGGAAATTTCCCTCCCCTTCCCCCTCCCCCTCCTCTCTCCCCTCGAGTTTTTAATTGAGGCAAAAAAAAACGAACAAAGAAATTTTTTTAATTAATAAATTATTTTCCATTCGATCAAAATTTTTATTATATTTTATTCTGCCGTAATAAGGGCACGTACAAAAAAAAAAAATCTCAACCGATATTTTCAAATTCGTTTTCCTTTAAGTCATCATCATCACAACCATATTGAAATTACGTCACAACTTCCCCCCCCCCCGTTCCCTATAATGAATAATTTCACCATTCGCACATAATATTACATATCGACAAGCAAGAATTTACTCGAGTTATGGAAACTCTCCACACTTTCCATTTGTTTCGTTGTTTCCCCTCCCCCCTTCCCCACCCACCCCCCGAATGACAACGTCATCAAGAAAAAAAATTTGTGAAAAAAATAAATAAACTCTCATTATCGAAATAAATAATTTATTTTTACTCGTCCATATTTTTTTTTTTTTTAAACAAAAAATCTTTTGAATTTTTTTTTTTTTTTTTAATTTAAAAACTCAGCAGGTACTTTTTCGATTATCATTATTATTATTACCATTAATATATTTAATAACGAATAAATTAATTTTTAAATCGTGGATAACATATATATAATCCGAATCGTTATAAAACAAAATGTATTATTATTACAAATCCATCAAATAAATAATAATTTTAACTCAAAAAAAAAAAAAAAAAATTAAAAATAAAATAAAATTTTAAATACGTGACCTTTGAACTTGACATTTGAAAACAAAACAAAAAACAAAAAAGAGAGAGAATAAAAAAAAAATCTTTTAAAATATGAATTATTTCACGTTAAACATTTAAAAATTCAAAACTTTATTATTCTTTTTAACATAATAAATCTTCGGGTTGTTATTATTATTATTATTATTATCGTACGTCCACCATATTTATTATATTCAATATACATATAATTTTATGTATGTACACTAAAAATCTCGTCGGGATTATAATTATTTTCGTAAACGACTCCACTCGGTCATCGAGTTCACAACGATAACAAATTTCTATTCAACCCTCTTTTGGTGCATGCATTCACGCACGCACACGCACTCACACGCACACGCACATTTACAAATGTGT